GATATGAGCCATCTTTTTGGTGGTTATTTATTTTCAGGTCTTAATATCTGTCGTTCTGTACTTCCCTGGTTTGGGGCTTGTTGGTGAGAGCTGTGATGCTGTTCTACTGTGTGTGCCTTGTAGGTGAGTTGGCGTTTTTTTCCCCTTTTAGCTTAATATTATTATTTCTTCTTAATTATAATACGTCATCAATACATTCTTTCCTGGGTATATGTATCTGGAATTCAAAGTGCCTCTTGTGTTTGAACTCTCAATTTGGGAGATGCTCTGCTGTAACTTCCCTGAATGGACCCCCACACCTTTAGTATTTAGCTCTGCTCCCTCCGTCCCGTGGACGCCAGGCTCGGTCTCTCCATCATAGTCCAGGTTTCTTGGATGTTGTGCTCATGTTTGTTACATCTGTTTCCTTACTGATGTCTGAAAGTCTCATTCCGTCAACCTTGTCCTCCATCCCTGATGCTCCTTCTTCTTCTTGGATGAGTCTATTGGTGATGCTTTCTGTTGTGCTTGTGATTTAATTCATTGAGATTTTTCATTTCTGCCATTTCCAGTTGGGTTTTTTAATCACAATTTTCTTGCTGTGTTGCTTGCTGACATTGAACACATTGTTTTTCACTACATTTGTGGTCTGTCATATTTTTACTGGGAGTGACTGTAATCAAATGATTGGTTATCAGTGGTGTGTAAATTCATAGTCAGGAATCACAAGTAATTGCCGATCCCCCACGTAGAGACTAAGATAGTGACACAGATTTTTATGACTTAGAGCACACAAACTTTGTTTTGAGCACATTACTAAAGCCATTCCATTTTCCTTCAGGCTAATTACAGAAGACATACATGGAATATAAACGAATTTCGTGTTTAGGCTCCTGTCTCATCCCATGACATCTCATTATGCATATGCAGATATTTCAAAATACAAACAAAAAATTGAAACCAGAAACACTTGGTACCAAGCATTTCAAATAAGGGATGTTCAGCCCATAGGAAAGCGTTGTATAGTTATTTTCTAAATGCTATTGAAAGGACCAGGAGTATAGGTGCGGATGAGCAACCACGGGCTAGAGGCCGAGGCCGGCAGCTCCTCCCTCATTCCCAGCGTGCAGATATTTCAAAATACAAACAAAAAATTGAAACCAGAAACACTTGGTACCAAGCATTTCAAATAAGGGATGTTCAGCCCATAGGAAAGCGTTGTATAGTTATTTTCTAAATGCTATTGAAAGGACCAGGAGTATAGGTGCGGATGAGCAACCACGGGCTAGAGGCCGAGGCCGGCAGCTCCTCCCTCATTCCCAGCGCTGCTGACACCAAGCCAGGCATGCCAGGAAGTGGAGCAGTGCATCCAGGTGTCAGGTTATGGTGCAAAGGTCTCGGAACACTAAAATGGTTCAATGTAAGAAACAGATGTGGTCTCAGGAATGCGGCCAAGGAAGATGTGTTTGTAAACCAGACTTCCATTAAGGAGAAACCCGTGAAGTATTTTCAGTGGAGGAGTTGGAGAGGCTGCGGACTTTGATGCTGTTGTAATAGGGTGTAAAGGAAGTGAGCGGGCCCTCGTGGGGTTCCAGTTCAAGGCAGTTAATAACGAAGCAGACTGAGACCCTTATAGACACTGTCCTTGTTGTAGGGGTCCACCACATAATTACAGTAGAGCCAGAAAGAATAGGGAATTTAAGAAGTGCTTCTTAGGGCCAGGCCCAACCACGCTGGCCCTAATGCGGGGAGTTTCCTACCTTACTACACAGAGACCCTAGGCGCCTGGACCACAGTATTACAACCCTTCCGAGAAGGAAGAAGTGATGGAGGCCGACAACCAGGATGCAGGAGACAGACTGTGTATTGTGTTACAGACTGCCGTTCCCCAAGGCCTTCCACACCTAAGTGCCTCAAGAGGATGGCGATAAAGAACACGGAAAATCAAGAAGCTAAGACTCAAAGTTGGCCGCCACCTCCTTTGATTCACTCCCAACTTCAGTGACCAAAGCAGAAAATCCTAAGGCACAAGACGGCAAAGAGGCAGAAAGCAGCCAACCCACCAGCTAAGAGTGTGTCTGTTCCAAAGGCCGAGTACATGGCAGCTGACCGTTTCTGCTATGATCCAGCTTAGTCACCCGCCCAGAAGAAACGAACATTGAAGTCAAGGAATAAGAAAGGAACAGAAGATTAGAGCTGAGGATTGTAAGCGCTCGCTTTCTGCTCACTGACCCGATGAACTGGAATTGTAGCTGCTGCCTTATTGATGCAGCACGAGGTTATGATTTTTGCCTGAAGAGATCTCTTGTGGGTGATGGCAGCCTTTTTTATTCTTAAAATTGTAATATTGAACACAATGTAAATACTGTGTAAATGCAGTATTGATAAAACAGTAACAAGAAAAACATTTACACTGCGCGCACTTGCCGTCCCTCCCCCACGTCCCTGCATCTCCCTCCCCTTGTGCCCTTCCTCCTCCAGTTGTCCTCCCTCCCCCGCTCCCCCCCCCAGCCCTTTCACAGCTTATGTGTTGGCATCTCCACCCCATACCTAAAGCTTTTCTCCATCTCACAGGCTCCTTTCCAGTTTCCTGGC